TCTTAATTAAGAATTGATGAGAAAATGTTTCAAAAATGATCCAAAATACACAAAGAAGATTAAAAATAAAACCTTTTTTAGAGGAATCAAAACTTTTAATACTTTTATTCAAAATAATTAGGTCACAACGGTTTTCTTCTTTAGGGCGCGTTACCACCTGGAAACCACCTACAAGTCCTCTTTCATCACATCCACACACCTCCTCTTTGTGCTTTCTTCTTCTCTGACAGCCTGTACATCTTCACTGCACATGTCCAAACAAACTCAGTCTCATCTTTCTTACTTTGTCCCAGAACCGTCCAACCCGAGCGGTCGCTGTGATGAGCTCCAAACATCTCAGCACGTCAAACTCAGCTTCTTCCAGGTCTTTTCATACGTTTCATGCAATGTAACTGATCTCTCAGCTGCCTTCTTAACTTTTACTTTCATGTTGGTATCCTTCTGTCACAACCCAGTACCCTTTTCTTCATCTCTTTTTCACACCCCAATTGTTCTGGATGGTTGACCCCAAGTATTTAAACTCAACCACCTTCACCTCCTCCATCATCCTCACCTCACCAAAACACATTTTCTACCTTGCTCCTTCTCACCTTCACTCCTTTTCTCTACACAGGAAACCCCCACAGCTCCCTGTGTAGACCGACACATCATACACAAACATAATATTCCACAGAGTCAGACCTCATCTGCCAGCTTGAGAAGCTCTCAAAGGCAGCTTCTCAAATTCACTTTTAACCAGTCTGTCGCTCCTACCACACACTATTGTCTCAGTGCACCCATGCATATCCTGCACCGCTCTCACACTTCTCTCTAACACTCCTGACTTCCTCATGCAGCACCGCACCACCTTTCTGGGCACCCTGTCACATGCTTTCTCTTAGTCAAGAAAAACACAATGTGACTCTTGACCTTTATCACGTTTCTTTTTACTACTTTAAGTTACAAAAATGTGGGTGTGTGTGTGTGTTTTTAATAACAATCACAAAAATCTCACTTAAAAGTTAACTAAAGCTCCAAAGCCCTACGTGTAAACTTAGATTGTAATCAGGCTCTTTGTCGCGTTTCTGAATAGTGGAAACTGGACTTGTTTTACGTAATCTACTCCTGGAACCTAACTTCAAAAAACTTTCCTGTTACCTTTCTGCACTTTGTCACACAACATGTAGACCTCCGTCTTGCCAGTGCAGGGACCTTCATACAGGTTCAAATGGGTGATCTTCAGCTGTGATGTAGTTGTTGCCTCTGGAATTAAAAAAAAAAAAAACGAAAAAAAAAAACATGCATGACAAAGCGTGAGAATAGGGTAGTACGCTGCCTTATTTTTGGCGCGCTTGGTTGACTGTGGTCAGGGCTTTTCGGTGTGTCTGTCTGGTTATGTCTTACTCTTGTCATAAATGGGCTTCGACACCACCGGGCTGAGATGGTCTTTCCTGCCGTCCTGCCACTCGAGCTCGCACTGAAAGCACAGACGCACTGAATTCATGTCCATGTCTTCAATGCCCTTCGAATGCCCGGCTGAGGGGAGAACAGAGACAAAATGAGTCAGTGAGGACAGAGAAAACTGCCTTTATATATGTGAATGAAGAGAAACGTGGAGATTAAGGTGCGGTGTATTGGCATACGTCTCCCACTCACTCTGAAATGGGTCGATATTTAGGCTTCTTCGCTTCTGAAGTGAAATGTCCAGCTCTTTCCGCCTCACACACTGAATACCGAGGTTAGCGAAGCTGGGTGTAAAAACAAGGGGAACTGTTCAAATAAAATGTAAAGACACACCACGAAATTTAAAGTATCAAAATGGCAGGGAACGAAGGCGAATGCTCACCTGTGACGTCGGCTGTTGCGAGGGTTGAATGTGACAAAACAGATCCCTGTACTATTTGGACAGTCTTTACCCACGAGGCAGTGTGGGTGAGGCCGGTGTGGGAGGTCTTTGGTCACCAAGGAAACTGTGACGTTGACCTTCTTTAAGCCGTCGATGGAACCCTGAATCTGAAAAAAAGAAAAGAACAAGATGTATAGCAAAAATCCAGAATAAGTTCAGAGCTGTGATGCCTATTAATGTGATTTTCTTGATAGAAAACACAGAAAAAGTTGTCTAAAGTTCTTAATTTTTTTCCTGACCAAGAGACCAAAGCTGTTGTAATATGCCAAACTAAAGCAGATAACCCTGACATCTGAGATACTTGGCTTGAAAAGAGTTGAAATAAAAGCTGATTAACCTTCTCTATCTGTTGCTCCAGGATTTTTTGTCTCTTTCCCCCTCAGACATTTATCTGGGGCAGACTTTTAACAATAGGTTTCTAGAAGGTCATTACAGATTTCCTGGTGCATTAAAAAAACCCCAAAAAAACCAAAACAAACTACCTAACTCAGGTACCAGTTTCGTCCAAAAATAATGACAGGTTAACACCATTGTTCAATTCTATTAATATCCATTATGCAACCAGACATTTCCTTGACTAAACCTTACATAACCTGGTAACCAGCAAGTCAATGTGTGAATGATCGTGGCGTGTAGATGTGTGTGGTAGTGTTTGTTAGTAAGCAGCTGGGGGATATACCTCCTTGTATCTCACTGCACTTGAGCTGGGATTTGTGGGGACTTTCTAATTGATTCAGACAAACCACATTTTTTTCAGTCTCCACCCATTTCAGACAGGAGGGGTCAAGTGAACAAAGTAAACAGGATCAGCTGTGGTTAAAAGTGCCTAACTGCCTCTGAGGTCGTGTAAACTCCCCTTCTGAAACAGAAACTCCTACCTCTATCGTAGGCAGGGTCTTTTCAGTGTGGGTGCTGGATGCACCCAGGATGCTGCCCGCCGAGCGTCCTTCACATTCATAGCGAAACCTCATGCCTCTGTCTTTGGGCTCCTCCACAATCACGAGCTTGGGCTTGTCCAGAACGCGCTCCAGAATGTCCGTGTCGCCTCGGTTCTGAGAGGACGGGATGCCGGAGTTCTTCGAGCTCAGCAAACACGAGGACCCTCGCCCAGAGGAAGGATGAGTCGATGCCATATCCATGACAGGGAGGACTGGCTGATGGGGGGGGACAAGAGAAAGCAATTTAAAAAAAAATTGACTTAAACATATTTACCTTGCACTAGAAACTTCTGGCAGAAAAGGCAGCATGAAAAGATGCAGACAACATGCAACAACCAACCAAGCCTCACGACTGTCCCTAAAGGCTGGTGATGCACATCAGATGAGTCTTTTATAACCTGATCTAATGAGTAAAGATAATTTCTGTACTCGAAAGACTTCAAAGCAAATCCACAAAGCATCTGAAAGAAGAAACAATAGTTGTTGTTTTTTTATTTTCCCCCCACTGGTTTGTGTTTATTTTATGTTTTAACCATTTCTTTATCATGTTTGTGATCTCTATGCTTTTTATTTCTGCTCTGGTCTTACCTCATGCCCCCAGTTTTTTTTCCTATTCCATCTGTTTTAGCAGGAAAGTTAAAAGTCACATGGCTCGACTTCATATTTCTCATGAAAACTTAATTTACACACTTTTCTTGCTTTGGATGTACAAATGCAGTGAGTCAGTTTGCTGACAGCATGAAACGTCTCTCCGGTTGAACTATGCCTTTAGATTTCCGATCATCAACTATCGACCTTTCTCAACACTCTTCCAAGAAGAAAAACTGAACTTCTGCAGTAAAATAAAAGTACTGGCAACTGCCAGTGCTACCCCTCAGACTCCCAGCAGACGCACCTGTGGTATCAATTACAAAATCCTACGTCATCTTGTCCTCAAGTTATCGCATTCACAAACTTAGGTGCCCACGTCACCGGCCTCGGTGAGGTGACGACAATACATGATCAGCCTTTTACGGCTGAGGAGTAAAAACCTGACCTGACAGTCGCATTTCATTCACCAGATTTCCATCACGATGTGTAAAGGAGATGAAGTCACCAAGTCAAATACGCAAGCATTCGCAACCAGTTACAACCTTTAAGAATATCTACAGTTTCGAAGCACTGACTCACTTTCAAAGCACAACTTCATAAAATCCTTTTAATAAAATGTTTCCCTTCCGAACGTCTAGGTTATTTAATTTAAAAACAAGTGTCATGTTTCAGTAGTTCACCATTAAAAAAGCACAATGAGAGAAAAGTGTCAAAAATGGCAACAAATGCAATATAATATCTTAGAATATTTCTAAATGATTACTTTGCATCTTTTTGTAGCAGCTCAGCTCCCATTTTGGGAACCCCCATGTTAAACTGAGTCACTCTATATAAAGCAGCTGAAAGTAGCTCCACTTTGACAAGCTAAAATACTACAATGGTACTTTTTACACACCAGTGTGTCTATATTAACAGTCTAACGATGTTACACGGTTTTACTGCTGAAAGAGCTTTTTTCCCGCCTCGACATCTTCATAGTTTTAATGAAGGAAAACAACCTCATGTCTCTTGGGCAGTGATGACACTACAGATGAAGCATGCAGTGAAAGAACTGACTCATGGCGTGTGTTTCTTTTTGTTTTCTCTCCATACATGTGCTTTCTATCAGTGAGCAGAGTTAACCTCGTGCTCTGCGACTCCTCCTCTTGCATATGACGTCTTATTTTTTCCGTTACACCGCAGACCACCGAGCTTTTTCCACTCCCACTCAAGACTTCGTATCTCTTTTTTGTCTTTGCTGCTTTTAGTTTCTCTCTTCCCCCATCCTCACTCATTTGTTTCTGCTCATCGAGGCGCCTGATTGCTTTCTCTTACCGTGAACCCAAAGTTATCACAAATCAAGTTTCACCCGACTCACTGCAGTCTATCTGCTGTAGCTAATCTAACCCCCCCCCCAGAAGATAAGAATGATAATGATCAAACCTGCAGGTAAGAAAAGTAGTAAAGAAGTCGCCTCCTTTGTCAGACGTGTTGCTGTGAATCATTAAACCATCGCTGCAGAGATGTGGGTGATACCTCTGCATGAGATCATGTTTCATAATATCCTGTCGAGCCCCAGACGTCTTTGGTCAAAGTGTTTGTATGCACCCCTGCAATCGTGTTAGCCCCCTCCCCAAAAGAAGAAGAAGAAAAAAAAAAAAAGGACTGGACCTTTCAACAAAAGCCTGCTACACCGAGCCAGCAAACGGAAATAGGAAGTCAGCTCAGCCTTACGCCCTTCAGCCAATCACAGCACTGACACGGGGGTGAAAAATGCAACCTTTCGTCTCCGGTGGGTTTGGCTTGTAAACAGAAAGGATGGCAAACTGAAAGCAGGAGTCAGATTACAGCTCTTCCAAAATGTCCTCTCCACTCCCCAAGCCCACCTCCTCTATAACAACAAAAAAAAGCACAAAGAGGTGTGCCACGCTCCCTCACAAGCTGCAAAACCTCTTCAAACCCAGCAACATAACCTGTGCAGCTCATTCACTAAGAGAAGGCTGAACTTCTCTTCTAGTGCCCTTCATTATTACCTATCTGTGCAGTCACTACAGTGCCTCTCTTATCAGATTACAGTTTTTCTGAGCTCCCGCTGCCTGTAAACCACGTGCTTTCTGGTAGAAGCCTGACCTGCTGAGTTGCCTAACGGCTGCTCTGTGCCACACAGCAAAATAGCCAACCGTCTGCAGGCTGCACATGAATCATGCAGCACTTCATACCACCAACATTCAATCCTCACAACAGCCTCATTATGAGAGCTGCAGCCAACGCCGAGGAGGAGGAACGGACGCTTCCTCTGAACCTGTTTTATATCAACCGCCTTTCAATAATAGCACAAAGACAATATGGGAAATAAAACTACTGTTGCTAATAATAAACCGAGGGAAGAGCATAACAACCTGCCCATCTGTGTGACTGCTTTGCACAAACAAATGATAAGAAAACCTCAAAAAAAAAACAAAAAAAACAATCAGAAAACCAAAAGCAGATTTTAACAGTAAATTCTCATAAATAAAATGTTTTAAGTTTTAGCTGAATCCATTAACTGTTTTAATGTTTATGTTGCCCAGCTAAGATAAGAAAAGGCTAAAAATAAGAATGCCATCATTATTGTTATCATTGTTTATTAGTCATAACCTTTCTAAAGACAGCTTAGACTCCAGTTTCCTACCTGTTATACAGTCATAGCAGCCAAAGTGATTGAATATTTACAAAATAGGTGCATGTACTGACATTTATTTCTCTGGCTTTTATATAAATTAAGTATCAGGTATATTGATTATGACTTGATCTAGTTAAATAGGACCTGGATCGAAGTAATGAGCACAAATTTTGCCAAGAATCTGTAAAAATTATGCCCCTATTCACCCCAGGCTGGCAGCTTTCACAGCCCACAGCTGATACAAACACCTCTCTGCTTGGCACCCTTGGGTGTTGCCAGCAGTCTTTCTGGGTAACGTATGAAACTGTGAAATGAGCTGGAAACCAGAAAAATCAACACCCTGCATGACACCACCTGAAAAAAACAACAACAACAAACAAACAAACAAACACCCACCTTAGATGAGGTGCCTCTTGCAACCAGCACCGGCTTGGATGTCTGCATGGGGGTTGGTGTCGAGCAGGGGAGGCCAGCAGGTGGAGGAGGTGGTCCAGGTAGTCCAGATAGGGAGGGTGCTACCTGCTCACTTTCTGTGATATATTCTTGAATCAGGTCTGTGTGAATGAATACAAACTGATGGTGAATCCAAAGTGAAAGTGCAAATGTGGTAAAAATCTGACACCGGTTTAGGGCAGCAGCTGTGCTGTTTCTTTACGTTTTTGGATTTGAAAGCAGAAACACTTCCATTAACATCTTTCAAACCTAATAGTATATTACTGCAATCTATTTTAAGACGTGGCGACGTGGCGACGTGTCACAAGACACAGTGTGTCAGAATTTGAGCGGTTACCACCTCACATGAACCGTTTCCTCTGTTTTGTTTTTGTCACTGGTGCATGAATCTGTGGCACGTTGTTTCAGCACTGCACCAATAAAAAAACAAGCCTGGTGCCATGTAGCCAGCCTCAGTTTAACCAGTGAAAGTGAATCTAGAGCAGTGGTTACCTGCAGGTAAATATACCTTTTGAGGACCAATGGTTGTGGTCTGTCATGTCTGACACTTTGTCAGAAATCATGAAACATTAAACAAAGCAAGCATCTGCAGCACAGTTTTCAAAGTTAGATAAGAGAAATCACCTGTTGTCACCTTTTCTTGTTTAATTTAATGTCCCAAATGTTGAGTTCTCCTTCTCTGACATCGGAAATAAGACAACCTAAGATTAAACAAGTAGGAACTCTGATGATGGTTCACGCCTCCTGCCAGAGGTCATCTCAGGTCACCGTAATGCCTCCCCGCTTCCGGCAGATGCACGCAGAGCCAAAACAAAACAAAACATAACAAAACAAAAAAGACCCACCACTCACCGAAATCTAGAGAGTTGAGGCTCGAACAATTGTCGTCCTGCGGGTCAATCCCGGGAAGGGGTGTTGTCTCCTCTGCTGTGAAAAATCACATGCCTCAGGATGATGTCAGCGCTTTTACGCACAAACACACGCAAAGATTCAACAGGTTTACAAAAGACAACCACCCACCAGAGGTACCGTTGACCATGTCCATGTCTATCATGGCATGCGTCCAGTCTTTAAGACCACTTTGAGGACCTTAAACTCCACCGTCGTGTCCTTGAATTCTTCCTTGAGAACTCTCCAAACCGGATGACCGTTTTTTCCGTCTCGGCCCAAACCTTCGTCCTGAACTCTGAAACAGCTCCTTAAACCACCAGTTAGACTGCACAGCGGCTCAGAGTGTCTGTCTGATCCCGGGGAGAAGTGTCAAACCGTCCCGAAGCCATGTGTGGAACTAAGTGCGCTCCGCTTTTGTGTTTCCGGCAGGCTTCGCGATTGGCTGCTGGACGCGTGGAAATCCCCCTCTGCGCGTAACGTCACCTCACAGACGGGAACCCCCCCCCGCGACAGCACGAACCAAACTTTTAATCAAACGGCGCTTTATTGATTTGCATAATGCATCATAGTGAGGCCAGAAAAGGCACTTTACCCTTAAAAGCCGATTTCCCCCCTCATTATGTATGTAAACTAACCGCACGTATCGGCGGCTCGTCTTGTTTTCATATCGGCTTCAGCGCATATGCAAATCGGTTTTTAACTATTCAAATTAGCCTCTATCCCAGAGCTAATGCACCTATTTTTAGCACAAAGAAGTCAAAAAGCCAGCTCTTTCTCAGCCACACGCCCTCTGACGCATTTCTCCTGGTTACATCATGTCTTTATCACGCTTCTCCCGGTTCCTCCAATCAGGGAGAAGTGGGAATTTCATAAGAGCAAAGTAAAAGTTACAATTTCAAAAATACAAAAACAAAAAACCCCTCCCATTAGAAACGGCGCCTCTTCTCCTCCCAACTTAAAAACTCTGACAAACTGCTGAAAAGTTACGAGGCGCAGCAGCGACACCTGCTGGTCGCCCAGAAGACAGACGATTTAAAGGAAATGGAAATCGAAAGCGGGGCGTTTAGGGGAAGCAGTGACTCAGCAGGGAGCAGATTAAAAAACAAAAATAAAGCAAGCCAGCTGCAGGCATGACCGACACGCCTGAGCTCTGCAACGAGAGGATAAGCTGCGAGTCCTCATATTTTGAAGGCAAAATATGCTGTTTTTTAGCTGTTTTTAGCTAAAACTTTATAGGCACACAGCATTTCCTGGAGGTCACGTGTCTTTACTTGAGTCAAAAGTAGACCATCAGTGTTTCATGACACCAAGCATCACCTACACCTGTCACCGGTGTGCTCCTAACATAACAGTGTTTCCACTTGCCTCAACTGTCAGTGCAATGGGGAAACAGCGCCCTCCCTCCTGGTTTTGCACAATGACTGTAAAGAAGAAAAAAGTCTTTTATACAGTTGTTGTTGTTGTGGCTGTTTATTTGAGGCTGGCTGCAGTAATCACTCCCAGTCTGTTAAAGCTATATGAGAGGTGAGTTTTATCTAGAGTAGTTATGTTTTATCGATACATAAAACTTTATCAACTGACGAACACAGTATATTAAGTACTTAGTGGGCAGGTGTCTGACACCAGTTTGTGTACTCTTCATTTGTTTAACACTGTATAATACATATGTTTTTTGGGACTGGTTTGCCAGAGGTGGCCCACACATGGGCACAGCACAAGGCCAGTTGCATACACACTGGTTGTCCTGTGCTGGCCCATGTGTGGATTACCTCTGGCAAACCTGATCTGGGCCACCAAAGGGCCGTCATTCTTTGCGGTATGTGGGCCATCTGTAGGTGGTGTGCAGCCATGGGCCAGTTGCATACACACTGCTGGCCCTGTGCTGGCCCAGAACAGTTTTAGCTCTGGCCCCAGATGTCAGCCTAATGTGTAACTTAATCAAGCCATGCAATAACAACATGTGCCAGAACATGCAAAACAGTGCAAAAGTAACATGCTGAACTCTGTTCAGACAGTGAATGTACTGATTCTTATATAGCGCTTTTCTACTCTCCCAGATTACTCAAAGTGCTCTATACAACATGCCACATTCACCTAATCACACACTTTCGCTTAACTGAGTGCTTCTTATCTACATTCATACTCTTGGCATGCAGACTGGAGGAGCCAGGGATCGAACCACTAACCTTCCAATCAGTTTGCAACCTGCGCTACCTCCTGAGCTACAGCCTCCCACTGGCAAAGATGAGTAAACCCTCACTAGGTTTTGGATAAAATGTACACTCACAAACCTGTCAAACCTGCATTTGAAACATTGGCTACCATAGCAGTATAGTATTGCAACATGGCATTTGGGTCTTCTAACTAAAATAGGAAAATAGGAACATAAATAGTGCCATCATTGCCAGATGTGGCCCAAATCTGGATGACATACACCCTGCCATGACACCAGTCAGTCAGAAGTGCCAGCTTGATGCCGGATCCAGGGAAGACCTGTTTTCCATGAGCCTGGGCCACATAACCCAAACCATAATCGGGCCAGATATGGCACGCCATCGCATAAACAGTGGCGTCATTGCCAGACCTGGCACACATCTGGTTGACATACACTCTGCCAAAACAGCAGTCAGTCAGAAGTGCCAGCTTGATGCCAGATCTGGGCCAGACCTGTTTTCTGTGGGCCTGGGCTACATAAACCAAACCACAATCAAGCCAGATATGGCATGCCATCGCATAAACAGTGGCGTCATTGCCAGACCTGGCACACATCTGGATGACATACGTCTTATCATGCCAGAAGTCAGCTAGCAGTGCCGACTTGATACCAGATCCGGGCCAGACCTGCTTGCTATGTGGGTATGTCATGTAGCGTTGGAGACCTCAACCTTCCAACCCACTGATGTCGTCCTGATTGGTTGTAGTTGTTCAAGGACAGTTCCAACAGGTGTGTGTGACATTACCGTTGAGATGTATGGCTGCAAAGTTGTTGTGGCAATGCTGGTGGTTGCAGGGCAGAGTGAGGACCTTATTCTGGGCCTTATAATGCATCTGGTTAATCACCAGAGGGAAGAGGGAGATTTAGGAGAGGAACACAGTAAGACCCTGAATGCTGAAGAACTGGCTAATAAAAATCTGCCGAATTCAATATCAGGCGTGGTGGTTCCAGAGCATGTTGGTGATTAGATTGGAGCTGTCAAGCTAAAGAGAGCTGTCACATTGGAGCCACCGACAGAACACCTAGTTTGGGGCAGGCTGCAGCTAATGAATAGTGGGGAGGTGGTCTTTGCTGTAGTTATAGAACCCACAGGCTCAAGGTCCAGGCCAAGATCGGTTATGGTTGGAAGAACTGTAGCATATCTAAAAAGTGATAGATGGGTCCCTGTAAAAGTGTTGAACCCCTTTGACAAGCCAGTGAGCCTAAAATGGAACATTAAGTTGGCTGACATGAGCTTCAGCCCCACCGGCTCCTACTTACAACAGAATGTGCAACTGCCAACTACTGGCTCAGCTAGGTGCCATGATGAGCAGAGCCTAGTCACTAATGTTTCCACCCTTCCTGATCATGCATCTTCACAGGAAGTGACAAGTTGTGGTAGCCCCTTACATGCAGTGCTACAAAATCTGGGGCTGTCTGATATTGAAATTGATTCACGTGCAGTTTCACCAGCTGGCAAAGAGAAACTAGTTTGCTTCATAGCACAGTTTGTGTCCATCTTCTCAAGAGACGAGCTTGCCTACATCGAATTCGAGTTGTGGATGACAAACCATTCCGGTTGCCATGCCAACATGTGCCACCAACTAAGACAAACTTATGACAAACTACCACAGAATGGAGGAACGGGGAATTATTCAGAAGTCTTGCAGTGTGTTTGCATCACCATTGGTCTTAGTTTGGAAGAATTCTGGTGAGTTAAATATATGTAATGACTTCCGCTGACTTAATGCTACAACTGTCAAAGATGCCCAGCCATTTCCGCTTTTGGCCAATGCGTTGGCTGCTTTAGGAGGAAACGCATTATTTGCTACAATGGACCTGACTTCAGGTTATTATAATGTGGAGCTGCATGAGCAGGACCGTAAGTACACCGAATTTACGTCACCATTTGGATTATACGAATATAATCATATGCCACAAGGATTGTGCAACAGTCCAGCAACCTTCATGAGGATGACGTTAGTCATTTTCAGAGATCAGGAACGGCGCAAAAATATTTTTGGAGGATTCAGCAAACAAATCAGTGGATGTGCTTGTGGTCATAAACCACTTTCCAAAGATGTCTCAGGCCTTTCTAATCAGCCTTAATCAGTCTGCTAAGGCAGTAGTTCTGCATCTACGGCTTTCCAACACGCTGGCCGCAGCGTCATTAGCTACTGAACGCAGTCAGCAGCTAATGACCCCTGCTGACTGCAAGTTTCCTCAACCCTATAAACAGTACATTTGCACAATAACTGAAACTAGCCCACTGAATGAACAGTAAGTTGTGAGGTCAGGTCCTTGATCATTAATATGCATCCACTGGAGCACAAACTGTGTGTCATCAGGACGCCACAACATAGAACGAACACCATCCCCATAGACACAGCAGCCAGGGAAGCAGAAGAACATCACATCACGAAGGCCCTGAGTAAATGTGGTGATAGCTGGACATTTGTCAAAGCTGGGAAGGCACCTAAAGAAAGCTTCAGTTCATCCAGGAGAGAAAGACAACTGCTGCCTAAGCGAAAACCTGTAGTGATCCCGTACGTTCAGGAGTATCGGAGCAGTTGAGATGCATTTTTCTAAACACAGCGTCTCTGTGGCTTTCAAACCCCAAAACATGCTGTGCCAAAAATTGGTCCACCCCAAGGATCGGGTCCCCCGACACAAGTAATATAGTGTACACTGTTAAGTGCCAGGAGGATTGCCAGGATTTATACATTGTGGAAACCAAACAACCTTTGGCAAAGCGATTGGCACAACACAGAAGAGCTACCTCGTCAGGCCAGGACTCTGCAGTCTATTTACACCTACAGGCCAGTGGACACTCTTTCAATGATGAGGATGTACACATCCTGGACAGGTAGGAACGCTGGTTTGAACGCAGAGTCAAGGAGGCCATTTACGTGAAAATGGAAAAAACATCTCTGAATCATGGAAGGGGCCCAAGGGTACATCTTTTGACATCTTACAATGCCGTAAATGCAGCCATTCCCCAACTCTCTGTGAATGGTACTCATGGCCATTGATCGGTGGTCTTTGATCAGTGTTTGTTGAGCAATGAACATCACAATTTGCATATTAATGATCAAAAAACTGACCTCCCAGCCCATTGTTCATTCAGTGTGCTGGTTTCAGTTATTGTGCAAATGTACTATTTATAAGATTGGGGAAACCTGCAGTCAGCTGAGACTGAAGAAGTCACTTGGATGAGTGACGAAACTTTTCTCCCACTGAAAACGCTACGTCCAGATGAACAGAATCAAACTTTTGCGATTTGCTTACCTGGATGGCTGAGCGTGCATCAAGACAAACCAGAGACTCCTTGTCTTCTTTAAAAATACAACAAAACGCAGAGTCAAGGAGTTTATTT